AGGTACTTATCTTCAATGAAATGGGAATTCATTTTATCGAAATCATAGCTCAATTTTGCTCAAACCAAGTCACAGACACACTGCTTATACGCATGATTATCAAACGAATAATTTTGCCAGTTCATTAGCTAAGCATGAATATGTCAAAGGTAAGCATGAAATCTGGTATGATCATAATTAGTTATTGCATTTTATTACGATTTTTATCCACAGGTGGCGCTATATTCGTGATCACTTTGCTGCACCAATTGTTTTCGGTGTAAAAACATTCGTCGCTCCTCCCATTTTTTATTTTTTTTTCCCTCTTCTGAAGACGAGGGACCTGTATCTAATCGCCCTCGAAGTCGAGAGTATTTTATTCCCAACCTACGCCGAAATAAGTTTACACTTTTCTTAAATTATGATAATATAAATCATTTTAACTCAAACATAAGTAACAATAAAATCAATAGTTGAAAAATATAGTATTTTATTGAATTAAAGAATAAGAGGCAAATTTTATCTTTAATGGAGAAATATCCAGTCCGACTTGCGGCGGGTTCTTAGGTTTAGAGACGTCTTTTATTGAACCCTCATCCTGGTGGCCATTTTGAGGAAAGGAAGGAAAATATTAAATCAAACCAAAGAACAGAAATCAGTTACATGAAGAAATGTTTCAATAAAATAAATATATTGATATTATTTATGTACCAGTTAAATATTTCATTTAGAAACCCTGGGAGGAATGAACTTTAAAAACATTCCGTAATAGCATTTACGGAACAATATTCATAAGCGTGAATTTTATCATTAAATGTATTTTATATGAATTATTATAAGTATATTCATATGTTAATTTATATGAATATGTTATTTATATTAATATATTTATATGATTATTACATTATATGCTTTGTGATATGTTTAAGAAAATGAGTAAAATTTGCTTTTTTTATATGTCTCATTCAGTACTGATTGTTTCGTTAAATGAAAAACACTTTTCATTGACACTGTTGTAGTTTTTTTACTGAAAACGTGCCTTTGATAAAAAATTGGAGAACTGTTTTTACCTCTTTTTACTTTTTGTTCTTATGGGAAGAATAGTTATGATTAGATACTTTTATGCCTGAAATTATATATTACAAAAGCGTTATTTTCTTTAACATGAGTGCCAGTGATTTTAGTATGTAACACACTAGAGTTCGTTCAGTCATTTTCCGCTATTTACTATATTTAGTCTGTCTGGGTTATCCAAAATATTAAGATATTATCATTAATATATCATATCAGGTCCTTTGGGCCCACCAGCGGGCGATAATGTCGCTCGACACTGGTAGTTCAATCCCTCTTCAATTCCAGGCGAACAGGCTGGCTGCATGGGCATTTTCGTTGTTTTCCTCATGTCTAACGCATACATTCGTCAGTTTCCCTTACAACGTACTCCACGAAGTACATCTCTCCCCTTAGACAGATTGCCCTTGTGTGCTACGCCAAAATGAAATAAACCAGCTTCTAGAAAAGTAAGCCCCTTTTTTGTTTACCTCGATGTCTTCTAAGAACGAGTTCCCTAACCGTCGGTGCTTAGGTAGAGAGAAAAAATAGGAATTTTTCTACATGAATAACATATATGAGGATTTCTATGGCCGACTAGAATCTGAGCAGTACAACGCAACAGTATGAATCACCTAAAACGCATTATAAATGAAATAAATAAAAAAAAAAAATATCTGAAAATTTTCAGATTTTATATTACGCCCAAAGGGGCATTTTTTAACGTTTTGTGTGTTACGTTTGTTTATCAAATATCATGTTCTTCGTACTTAAACCATAAAACTCAGTTCAACAGCAATATTTAAAAAAAAAAATCCTATCTTTAGAATTTCCGATACAGTCTTGCGCGCTGGAGATAAAAATATTTTTCTTCGTACATTGTTGCCAATGCTCACTTTTAAATAATTGAGTATATTAATCAAAATTCTTTAATGTTTAACAAAATATGAAATAGATAATAAAACAAATTCCAAATTTGGGTTTCCCGATGCCCATATTCGAATGGAGTACTACGGAATTCAAAATTTGAGTGCTCTGAGTATCGTTGCTTTATCATAATGCGAGAAACATACATATATGTATACAGATTCTTCATTATTTAATTTCTTTTTTTTCTGTCATTCAGGGCTTTAATATTTGGTGGCAATAATTTGAAAAATGAACCGACGGAAAATGTCAAAACGAAATTAATAACCCTTCTGCGCAAACTGCCCCTATGGGCTAATAAATTAAATATATTTTTTTATTAATTTCTTTTAAAAAAATTTTTTTTTCAAATATAGTATGGGGTTATCTTAACTTTTGCTTCATTTTTTTTTTTAAATTTAGTAGTTTTCTTTTAATACGATTATAGAATTTTCCTCGTACACTTTAATCTGCTTCTACTAAATTATTAATTGAAGCTTTATATATAGAGAGAGAAAATACATTTCATACATGAGAATATAAATTTCATAAATATAGCTCATGCCTATGTATAAACACACTAGTTGGACTACGTTGACATGTTTCCTCATCGTCGTAATGGCATACTAGCGCATGAAACTGGATTTCTTTTTCCTGTTCTCAACCCTACACGCTCACGCTAACAAGCGATGAAAGTAGACTCGAATTCTCCTAATAGTCCCGCTAATGAGAAATGACCAACAAACATACCTTAAATTGGTCTTGTGAAAAAAAAAAAAAAAAAAAAAAAAAAAAAGCAAAGATATATTTTTCATGGTTTTTCCCTCCATTTGTGGAAAGGGAACTAATTTCAGCGGAGAAAATAGCGTATGTGGCTTTTGGAAACACGCAGAAGTTGAAATATTTTCATCAGCATGTCACGCATTATGCAAATTTGTCTCTACTTCTCCTGTGGGCAAAGAACGATCTTTTTTTTATTAGTTAGTTTTTTTTAGCAGAAACATATGTATTTATTTTCTCAGTTTAAGGCTTTTTAATTATCCAGAAGCAATTTTCAGAGTTAATAAGCTTGATTAATGATATATATTTTACAAGCTGATTAAGTGCTTATAGCAGTCATACGTAGCTTTTAAAAATAAATGTCTTTCATATTAGTTAACAATGTTTTTATTGCTTAGAAGAAATTAATTATATCTAGCACATTTTCTGCTAAATGATCCACATTAGATAAAAGCACATTTGAATTGGGCACTCAGGTGTAAAGTGTTAAATATATGGGAATACTTTTTTGAAAAAGTAGTAGGTTTCTTGGGTTATAGTGGTAAGAAGAAAATTTTGTCGCCAAAATTATTTCTTCCGCCTTCGTAGTGTAGTGTCAGCACACTCGGCGAATATCGAGAGGTTTGTGATTGGAATCCCAGCGAGGCCATTGCACATTTTCACGTCTCCTGCTTCGAAATAACCTGATGTCTCTACAGTGGCACCCGAATTAAAGAAAAAAAAAAGTGGTGGATGATGATTCTCCACCACCAAGATCCGGTAATTGGGTTCCCTAAACCCAAATTGCACCTTTAAAAAGAGGCGTTTATAAGGTATTTCGCCCTCCTTCTTAGCATGTTTTCGTGGTGTAGTAGTCAGCACACTTGGCGCGTAACGAGAGTTCTGTGGTTCGAGTCCCGGGCAGGACATTGTTCATTTTTCTTTCTCTCCTGCTTCGAAATAACCTAATGTCTCTACAAGGTAATAAACCTGTATCCCCTTCTCGTCTATGCAGAATAGCAAATAGAATTGAAGCAATTCTAAATGCATACAAACTTTCCTTATACCCTAATAACCTAATGACTCTTCAACAATTCTACTTATTGAAACAACTAACTAAATTTTGTTTACAAATGATAACTGAAAGTGATACTTACTTAAAGTTCTTTGCTATTTAGAACATATAATTGGCGAGAGATCATGTGCTGACCACATCAGATAATTTTTCCATATTTTGAGTGGAAACCTCTTAACAAAATTCGATCTTTATAATGAGATTACAGAGACCAGTGTAAAATGTTCCTAGATGATGATGAGAATATATTTTAAATCCAATTTCATTGCAGCTGAGCTGTTTCTTTAAAGAATGTATCATCTCTGTGTATCATATTCACATTTTCGGTTTTCTAAAACACAGTTGTAAATATGATAGTTTTAAAGAAATTCACTAAAATATATTGCTTAATTTTTTACATCATACAAGTCTGAATTATTTTGTGTCGCTTATAAATATTGCATAAAATATTAGAAAAGGATGGCTCCTGGTTTTATATCATTAACATTATAATTACTGTATAATGAAATAAGGATAACTACAGGCTATATTTCATTAATATGTACACTTCTAACATCGGTACTTCTTATATTTGCATTAATCATACTTTGAAAATTGTGTTAACATATATGGGGGATTTTTACAGAAAGAGTGAATGGTTAATTGATTTCGATATAGCTCTGTTGTAGGGGCTGCTTGCCAAAGAAGTGCATGCGTTCGGGGAAGGTTTTCTAAAGAAAACTTGGTTATAACCACATTACACATAGGAATGAGCCCATTCACGAGGATTGCCTCGGTCAAACTGTCAGCGTTCAGCAATTTTAAATGCTTGGCTATTGGTGCTATTGGTAGGCATTTCTGTAAAATTTAAGTCGAAATTATGATATGCTTCATGAAAAATAACAAATATTCCAATTAGTAATGATCGAAATGTAGCACAACCCAAACGAAAATATTTTATTAAAAAATACTAAACTGAATCAAACCATAAGCATGAACTTATTAAAAAGAGAGATTATTCTGAGAAGGAAAAAAAGTCAAAACAATGAACAACATCCCAGTAATTGCGCAAAATGTGACACATTTCCTTGAATTTAGGTATATATGTTGCAATGTATATATTGAATATATGTAGGTATATATGTTACGTGCATGAACGTTACACTCAAAGTTGGAAACGTACATGCACGGATGCCTCTTTCCAAGTTTGGGGTATATTTCTGAAAGTACGAACGCTTTTTTGTTAATTTCGTTTCCAGTTTTGGCTTTAAGTTTGCGAATAGAGTGTGGATTGCTTTCATAAGCATGGGTCAACTGACCTTGTAAGGTTTATTTTAATTTTATAACAGTTTTTTTTTTTTTATTTTTTTTATTTTAAAGTGCTTTCCTATCAATTTTTTTTACACTACAACTCCCTACCAGACTGAGTTTTCAGAATCGCGTTGAATGCAAAAAGTAGTATTTAAGGTAGGTTAAACTGAGAGAGAACTAGGAATGCCTTCGGACTAAATCCCTCTTAAAGCTGTTACGCTCGGCCGTATATTACATGCCTTTTGATATTTCTCGTTTAGTTTTAATTGAGCGACAACTACGTTAGACACATCTGTTAGCTTCGGCTAAGTCTTTCTTAGTTAGTTATAATTTAGTTCTTATTTCTGAGTTTAGGCCCGAGTGGAGGCTTTGTTGTAAGCTCGAGAAAGGGGCCTTTGAGTCTAGTTAACCCTTCTTCAGTCTACATATTTAATTATTTAAACTCAGCGGTGATTTGCTAAGAGTTCAGTAGGTTCCTCAACGTTCATTTAGTAGAATGAACGTGAGGAAATCTACAACCTCATAGAAATAAATTAGAAGAAAATGTGGGGGACTTTGGAGCTAGAAAGTTTCCGAAGTAAGTCCGAAATAAGGCATAAGAGCCTTATTTCGGACTTATCTGTCCGAAATAAGGCAATAAGAGAAAATATCAGTGAGAAATAGCAGTGGCTTATTAAACATAAACAAGTAGCTTCACCTTTCTGAAACCAACAAAAATAGCTTATTCTCTTTAACTAATACAATAAATTGCAGTTCGATACGCAGTTTCATACAGTGTTTCAAAACGAAATTGGTTAACTAAGTTTCCAAATGATACAGCCAAACCAGGACAGTGATTTTTTGAGGGTCTAGAATTTTTCCGTCGTCGCCGTTTTCCTCCCTCGCCTTTTCGTCGATAAGTCAAACCTCCGGCAGCTGATTCACCGTGGGCCATTTCGCTGCAAGTAGAAGTGAAATATAAATAATAAAGGTTGCTTACAACATGTATAATTACTTGCTCACAAATTCGGTATCAAAGAACTTACATATACACTGATTATCATTAATTAAGTAAAAATCTTAAAAATAATAATTACTCAAAAAGTTAGATATAGAATTTAATTATCATTAAGTAAAAATCTTAAAATAACAATTACTCAAAAAGTTAGATATATAATTTAATGAAACTGGCCCACGATATACAATGCATAGAAAGGTACTATAAAATAACATGAAAAGAAATTACCAGACAATTACGGTGTTATAGATATTAGCATATATATAAAATGAACAATTTGGATGCGTCATTTTGGTGTAGGAAAATTACCTGCAACATGCAATATGATCTTTCATTGAAATAATACAATGCATACAGCAATGTGCGATGCTGTCAATTATGCAGTCTATCAGTTCCGTAGGAAGTGAGAGCCATTGCTTTTCTACAAAAGACTTGCAAGTGTAGCAAGAGTATAAAGAGGAGAACTGAGAGCAGCTATACATCTTTCTAAATCATCTGAAACATGCACAATAGGACTCATGTTCGGTAATGTAAAATTTATTTATTTATTTATTTATTTTCAAAATACACACTAACAGTTTCGAAACGGATTTAGCAGAAAAAAATGACTGGACAGCTTAATAAAGAGAAAATAAACGAATAAACGTGTAAACAAATAAATGATGAAATGAAACAAAAAGTAAATTATAATAGATTCAGTACAATAAAATAAAAATAAATGAAGCGATAAAAATTTACAACTTTCTGTAGAAATTTCTAGAGTGTTACTTGTTTCTGTCGACCTTAGAAACAAGGATAATAAAATCATAGCGTGTGATAAATGCGCATTTGTACATTCCAAAGTTTCCGTACAAGGTAAAATTTAAAAGCAACTGTTAATATGCATAAATATATCAAAACTCTAAAGTAGAAGGCAATGAAATATATATATATATATATATATATATATAATAGATATAGATATAGATATTAAATTCCAATTTAAATATAGTTTGTATTATATACAATCATTAAATATATTTTGCATTAAGAAGCAACAAATGCACAATCAAACAAAAGTCTGAAAACCTCAAATGTCATTTCTACGGCTTAAGAGTTTCCATAAATTTTAACGAACTCCGAAAACATTTAAGCTAATTAAAGTACATTAGACTTATATACATATATATATATATATATATATATATAAGTCTAATGTACTTTAATTATGTAATATATATATATATATACTTATATAAAGAGAGAAAGGAAAAAAGACAAATTCGGTCTTCAAGCGTCAAGTAATTAACGTAGTAAATACTCAGAGGATGATAAAATGAAAAAACATTATTTGCTGGTTGTTTCGTGATGCGGTGTGATCTAAATTTTAAAAGTTTGCAATGAAAGGAAATCATAAAGAAAGGTATAATTTCTTATATAATTTCATATTGCTTATATAATTAATATTACGTAGCTGAATCGAATTGGATGAGTAAAAAGTTGTCAGAAAGAAGAAAAAATAAGATAAATGGATTTAAAAAAGAAATATTCTGATAATAGTTAAATATATTACAAACGAATGCGGTATACATCAAGGACTAAATGAAAGGCAAATAACTGAGATAAATACTTTTATTAATTTAAATATTTCTTTATAACTGAATTTATTTACATTTGACCCATCCCACAATTTCACCTCTTCTAAATGGAAAGTAAACAGTAAACAATTCTGATTTATTTGTCTGTTGTTTTCATTATTTCTAGGTAAAAATTTGAGGAGAACATTGAAATCGGGGAATCGAAATAGTAAGATATATCCTATCGAGTATTTTCACAAAAAAGAAAAATATTCGCATTCGATTTTGTGGTATTTTTGTACTGCGAAATGATATATTGTACGCATTTCCTGATATTTTGATTCAATTTTCTCATGATATTATGTTTCATATGGGGCAATTTAGATTTTTTTCTGTGGAATGTTGAACAAATATGTAATTCCTCCTCTTTGATACTTTGACATTTCAGTTGGAATACATAAATTCTTTATGTTACTTGTGCAGCATTTATATAACAACTTTTTTTTTTTTCGTTAAAGAGGCTAAACGATGAGAAAATATTTTACCATTTTTTGTTTTGATTGTATTCATACGAAAGCTATTGCATGATTATGCACGAATTTATTGATCTTCTAAAATATTTAGAAATGATATGAGCTGGCCTTGGAACAGATGTATTTTCTTGCACATTTTTATGAACACAGATTCTTTTAATACAAAATAAATATCACTATTTATTTGAGAGACAACGTTTTAGACCAATACTGAGTGCGAAAGTATTTTAAACGGCTTATGGTTTGATTCATTATGTAAGAATAAATATTTTTCCAAAAGTATATTGTACTTTGTGCAAGAAGCCATTGATGCTATAAATTATACATCTTTTATAGATTCGAATTAGCAAATATTGGATTTTAAAAAATTTTCGTTACATATATTTGGTGATTATAATATTAAACGTCAGTCATATAATTAAGACACAATAACACGCCGAATAAATACTAATTCAGAAGTGAAACAACAAAAATCAGCGTTATACCTACAAAATTTTCACAGGACTAGTTTCGATGGTTTTACCGAACCATCATCTTCAGCTGCAAAACCGCAAATGAACAAGATAGGAAATAATGATTAGATAAGATAAGAAGGCCTGGACAAGAATAGGCAAGTGGCGCCATCTGTTGGCGAAACCAGAACTAAAACATAATTTCTCTAAAAGCCGAAGGCAAATTTGGATTGGAATTAGGATCGTTAACTAGAACAGAAAGATTTTTATGAATGTGAAATGCCTCTAGAAAATCCAGTTCTCCAATGGAAGATGTTTTTTGAATAATTTTGGCAGCAGAAAAATTGAAAGTGTGATTTTCGGACCAACAATGTTGAGCAACAGAAGATCTCTGTGTTTCCTTTTTTCTAACATATGCCTCATGTTCTTTGACGCGAAATTTTAAGGCTCTCTTAGTTTGGCCAATGTAAATTAAACCACACTGGCAAGGAATCCTATAAATACCCCAGGAATTCATATCCGGAATGGAGTCCTTGAGTATAGAAGTTGGAATTTTATTGATGGGAGAAAAAACAACCCGAAAGTTAAATTTCTGCAAAATATGTGCAACTTTATAGCTAATTGATGGAAAGAAGGGAATGACAACAGAATTTTTATAATCTCCTAAAATAAGAGTGTGGCTTTTAGTGTGTTGAGATGAGAATTTTTTAACTGCTTGATTAATAATGTTGGGTGAAAAGCCCCTGTCAATAGCTATTGCTTTTAAATAATTTAGTTCTTCATCAAGGGCTAGTTTGGAGGAGCAAACTTGAAGAGCACGGAAAACAAAGGAATAAAATGAAGCTAACTTTTGTTTAGTCGGATGACATGATTTAAAGTGTGGTGGAAGGCAAACCGATGAAGGTTTACGGTAAACTGTAGTACTGAAGTGGATGTGTTACGTGTGACCAGAATGTCGAGAAACGGAAGAGAATTGCAAGTCTCAAGTTCAAAAGTGAACTGAATAGCAGGATCAATAGAATTCATTGTTGAAAGAACTTTATTTAAATCATCTTTATTACCTTCAAACAGATCGTCTACGTAGCGGAACCATGCCGGGAAGTTTAAAGTTTCAAACAATTTTGATTCATAATAATGCATGTAGATATCATCCAGGATGGGATTGAGGGGACTTCCCATGGCTAATCCCTCAGTTTGCTTGTAATATTTATTTTGGAAAACAAAATGTGTTTGTTTCAAACAGAGTTGAGTGAGAGAAATTAGCTCATCAATTTCGATGCAAGAGAAATGAAATTCTCGAAGTCTGGTTTCTAGACATCTTAATGCACCCTCCACTGGGACATTGGTGAATAATGATTTTACATCAAAAGAAACCATGATAAATTACTAGGAGAAATGTTTTTTAACCTTTTTTACAAACTCTATTGAATTTTTTATGGTGTAAATGTTATTGTCTAATAGAGTGGAAAATCTAGAAACTAAATATTTAGCTAAAGGATACGAGGCAGTACCTAAATTTGATACAATAGGGCGGAAAGGAATACCACTTTTATGAATTTTGGGAAGAGCATATAATCTGGCACAATTCGCAACAGATGGGATAAGCGAATGTTTTAAGTTGCTTGAAATGATTTGCGAAGATTTGATCGCAGGTTTTATTTTGGATAAGTCCGAAGGTGAAGGATCTTTAGGGATCGGATTATATGGTCCTTCGTTTAAGAGTTTAGTGACACCATCGATGTAAGTGTTCTTATCCATGACGACTATCTGGCCACCTTTGTCGGCCTTTGAAATGATAATATCCGGGTTAGAATGAATTTCGCGCATTGTAGCTCTTTCTCTCGCAGTTAGATTTGGTTTCAAAGGTTTATTATTGAATTTCACATTATGAGCGATAAGATGCCTAATCATTTCTTTCTGTGAATCTGAAACTTTACTGAACTTGAAAGCTTTTTCAATAGGAGCCAAAATCTTTGGAATCGAGGGTTTATAGGTTTGTGAGAAGTTAAAATTATATTTTAGAATTCTCTCTTATTCTTCTTCTGAAAGACTAACATTAGAAATATTAAACTATTGGCTTGATGTTTACAATGGGAAGAGTTTTTGAACTACTTGAACTGGAAGACTGTAAAAGAAGTTTTTCGAATTTAACTGCAAGGGTGTTTTTATGACGGTTAACTGCATTCTCCGTTCTAGACCAAGACTTTTGTTCAATGGCAGTGAATTTTGGATATCATTTAGCGAGTTCCAGATGAAGCTTATAGAGTTCATGTTCAATTTTGGACAATTGTTGACGTGTATCCCTTATCACGGACCGAAGTAAGGCAAGCTTGCAATTTAACAGAATTCTTGAAACGCGACTCGAAAGGTTTTTGATTAGTTTTGATTTGAATAAAATTGGGGATCAATTTTTTACATTTACATTTAAGTAAAAAGTCAAGATGATTCAGGAATTTTTGCCGTTTCAGGCGTAATTTAGTGAAACGATTAACGGATGAAGGCATGATAAACAATGCAGAAAAACAAACTAAATTAACTGAGCAATAATAAAGTACACGCAAAACAGCAGAAAAATCCCTCACTGAAATGAATAGAAAACAAAACGTTTGTAAGCAAAATGCATGAAATCAGACAAGCAAAGCACAATATCCAAATGTACAAAACATAAACATAACTTGAAAATTGAAAAATGTACTCACCGAAACTCCTACAATCACAAAATGGCGGCCACACCACGTGCAAAAAAGAAAGCAAAATGTAAGCCTGTTTGGGGCTTCTATAATTAAGATACAATAACACGCCGAATAAATACTAATTCAGAAGTCAAACAACAAAAATCAGCGTTATACCTACAAAATTTTCACAAGACTAGTTTCGATGGTTTTACCGAACCATCATCTTCAGCTGCAAAACCGCAAATGAAC